TTCGAGTTCTTCTTCCCTTCCCTCATGCAGGTTCTGCTGCAGCAACATCATTAGAGGCTAGGTCACAAGGTCACAACACACATTTGTAGAGTGAGGATTACCTCATGGACAATTTGAATACTACTCACCCCTGCTGCCCCTTCTCCCCATAGCTCCCCAATTAAAACACAGCCAGATAATAGGCTGTGGAGGGTTAATGCAGCCCTCAGCACTGCTCAAGCCCGATAAGCACCGGATTCTTCTCTCCTAAGCTTGGATTTACTCAGGTCTCACAACTCGGCACAGACTGGAGATGGGCTTTGAAACATGACCTAAAAATGATCTGCTACCATTCAGTGTTTTCTGTATGGTAGATTATTAGATCTGGTGGATACTCTGTGTAGCTGAAGGTTTTTTTTCACCACTTTTTACACATGGGAGTCCTTATTTTATTCCACAAAAAATCACAGGTTCTGCTCTAAAATCTGTGCCATGATAGCATGCAAATGTTGTCGCAGATCACATAACTGTGCATGCACATTTTCCATATTTATGCATGACAACAAAACTACTCGCACACACACTCACTGATGCTTAGTCACAGTGGCAACATTGGAGGGAAGCTAGTAAGTGATTGAGACATTTCAGGCTGTGGGGGCTGGCAGGCTAATCCGTGAAATGAAACTTGACTGGGAGGAGGGGTGAGAGGAGAGAACATGAAAAGATAAGACAGAGTGGGGGAGTGAGAGGGAGAAAAAATGAAGAGGGAGAACGGCAAGCCCTTAAGCTACAGTATAAGAATGAGCAGAGAGACAGCAGAGGGCTCTGGATGCAGCACAAATCTGTGCTGCAGGTGAAGTGGGTGCAGAAGAGTTCTGTATTCCAGACTGAGTATATTTGAAGTCACCAAAATGAATTGAGCAGTTCACTATCTTCAAAGGAACTGGGTCATGTGATGTATCTTTTCATCATGTCAGAAGAGAAAATTGTGTTTACAGTTGGGGGTTTCCATACAACTTAGCAAAATACATTTCAAATCAGTTTGTCACAACTCCTGACATTTAATCCTATAAACATTCCCTGTCTTAGGTCAGTTAGGATCAATGCCTTATTTTTAAAATGTGAAATGTCAAAATAATAGGAGAGAAAAAAGATTTATTTCAGCTTTAATTTCTTTCATCTCATTCTCAGCGGGTCAGACGTTTACATAACTCAGTTAGCATTTGGTAGCCTTTAAATTGGTTAACTTGGGTTTAATGTTTCAGGATGTCTTCCACAAGCTTATAATAAGTTGATGGAATTTTTTAGCCCATACCTCCTGACAGAACTGATGGAACTGAGTGAGGTTTGGAGGCCTCCTTTCTCACACATGCTTTTTCAGTGCTGTCCACAAATATTCTATTGGATTGAGGCTTTGTGATGGCCACTCCAGTACCTTGACTTTGTTGTCCTTAAGCCATTTAGCCACAACTTTGGAAGTCTGCCTGGGGCCATTGTCCATTTGGAAGATCCATTTGCAACCAAGCTTTCACTTCCTGGTTGATGTCTTGAGATGTTGCTTCAATATGTCCACATAATCTTCCTTCCTCATGAAGCCATCTATTTTGTGAGGTGCCCCCACTACCTCCTGCAGCAAAGCACCCCCACAACATAATACTGCCACCCCTGTGCTTCATGGTTGGGATGGTGTTCTTTGACTTGCAAGCCACCTTTTTCTTCCAGACATAACGATTTGATTTTTTGTTTCATCAGACCAGAGGACATTTCTCCAAAGTGTCACATCTTTGTCCCCATGTGCAGCTGCAAACCATAATCTGCCTTTTTATGGTGGTCCTGGAGTGGATATAGATACTTTGGTATCTGTTTCCTCCAGTGTCTTCACAGGGCCCTTTGCTGTTGCTCTGGGATTGATTTGTACTGTTTGTACCAAAGTACATTCATCTCTAGGAGACGGACTATGTCTCCTTCCTGAGCGGTATGATGGCTGCATTGTCCCATGGTGTTTATAATTGTATAATATTGTTTGTACAGATGAACGTGGTACTTTCAGCTGTTTGGAAATTGCACCCAAGGATGAACCAGACTTGTGGAGGTCCACAGTTTTTTTCTGAGGTCTTGGCTGATTTCATTTGATCTTCCCATGATGTTAAATGAAGAGGTAATGAGATTGAAGGCAGACCTTAAATACATCCACAGGTGCACCTCCTATTGACTCAAATGATATCAATTAGCCAATCAGAAGCTTCTATAGCCATGACACAATTTTATGGAATTTTCCAGGCTGTTTAAAGGCACAGTCAGCTCAGTGTATGTAAACTGCTGACCCTCTGGGATTGTGGTATAGTGAATTATAAGGGAAATAATCTATCCTAAACAACAGTTGGAAGAATGACTTGTGTCATGCATAAAGTACATGTTCTAACCAACTTGCCAAAATGAGAGTTTAACATGACATCTGTAAAGTGGTTAAAACTCAGTTTTAATGACTTCAGTCTAAGTGTTTGTAAACTTATGACTTCAACTGTATGTTTTAGAAATGAGTACAAGCAAAGGCTGGGCAAAATCATACACTTTTGGACAGTCTGTACTTAAAGCCGTTCATGACATTAGAAATCTAAAAAATAATGAAGGAAGACAGGTTCTCATGAGTATGCGTGCCTTTGAATTATCCATTACAAAAAAGTCACAAAACTCATTGACTACAGCCCCAGAAAAGGAGCTTCAGTCTCTACCTCAGACAAGCACTGCATTGGAAACATATTGAGATCTGTAGAGGAAGAAAGACAACGCTTGTATGGTAGTGAAGAAAAACACAAAACAAGATAAAGGTCACACAGATCCAGGTTCAGTCTAATCTCATTTCCTTTTGTCTCTTGTTGCTGTGCAAATCACTGCTTTGATCTGTTGCACCTGAGACCCAAATGAGAATGGCAGGAGCGAAATGAGATACTATCATCGTTAACTGTGGCTGTGGAAATGCTACAATAAAAGATCCCTGAGGTTTGGGCTGTGGGGTGGGAAGTGTGTGTGTGTGTGTGTGTACACATGTGTGGGCTTCTAAGGGCATACATGTTGGCACACCTTCTCTTTGTCTGCAAAAAGATTGAGTGTGCAGGTCGAGTGTCAGTGCCAAGGCTGAAGTCGAGTGGCACTATCAGCAGTCACTCCTCTCCACTTCACCTGCCACAGGTGGCTCTTTCATCTTCCCAGTCCGCAGTCTGTCTCTTATCTTAGCCAGTGATCATGAATACAGATGTCTTGGTTGAGCCCCTGCTTCTAATGGGTAGAACATGGAAAGACAACTAAGTGCTGCATTAATGAACCTGGATACTGTGATAGTAGTTTTGGCTCTATGCATATGCATGACCTATTTTGTTAGCTAATGTGACAGATTCAGAGTTGAGAGGTCCCTCAATAAGATCCTCTCAATGAATATTTCCTGAGGAAAGAGAGCAGTTTAAATCTCCCAGAGAACAACATGTTCTCAAAACATTCATAAACAAAGAATACAAGTCATATAATCTTTACTGCATTAGGAGGAAGTTATTTATATCAACATCTGGGCCATAAAAGCCAACAGCCTGGAATTTGAAAGATGAAAGCAGCAATTTGTTTTCACTGTTTTATGAGATGAGCTAATCTCCATGCTATTATGTTAACATTTACAGACACATGGTCTGTGGTTGTGTGTGTCTTTGATGCCATGGAGTTGGTTATATGTCAAGTGAAATTGTATATGGCAGTTACAGCGTGCTGATAATCCAAGTTTAAATCTTGTCCATAAATTCTGTGGGGGCGTCAGGCTTTGTCTTTTTTTTGGAAGACATTAACTTTAAGTGTTGTGCTGTCTACATGATATACCTTTCCAAGGAAATGCCAGTAAAGCAGCTGTCTCTAGCTGGGGGATAGCTCTATATTTCAGGAAAACAGGAAGATGTAGAGTGGCTGTCTGTGGCTTCTGATTCCCTGCTAAGCATTTGTATAACCATGTCTCAGTCATTTCTATAGCAGATGCAGGTTTTACACTGTTAACAATCACTATGTAAACAAAGCCTTGGTCCATCTGGATGAATCACCAGATATAGTATTTTTGCATGCACAACTACAGTGTTAAAAAGCATTAGGTTGTTTCAAAATTAAAATACAAGGTTGCCTTAAGACTGCTCTACCTGTTTTTTTTATTTTAAGAGTGGCTCAAATTACTGCATATAACATGAAAAGGTTCACTCTTGGTGACATACCAATAGAAGACAAAGCTCTTTGGCACCTTTTAGCTAATTGTTTTGGTTTTTGGCCAGAGACCTTTCTTTTTCTTTTCTTTTCTGTCTCACCACTTTCATCAACCTTATTTCAAAGAACCTTTATCAGAAAAATACAGCACCAAGCAGATATGTTTGGAAATTAGCATCTATGATAAATACAGTGAACCATTTAACAGCTTAAGTGCCAGATATTTTCAGGAATTTTACGGAGCGATTTGAGTTAGATAGAACAAGATACAGTGGAATCAAATTTGAAAGGATATACATAGTTTATTATAAAAACATTGAGGAATCTGTGTAAATAAATGCAAAAGCCCAGCAGTGTAACTCTGGTACTCTCTATATGGAACTATAGGTAAAGTATGAATAATGATTTCCTTATACAGCAAAATTAAATATATAAACATTACACACATATCTGTAATGGCAGTGTGTAACTACACAATTATTCTTCCTTTGAGACCGGGGGTTCCACTGTGCTGTTTCACAGCCCTCTGGCTCTGACCTCTGTGCCTAGCAAAGCTGATTGCCTTTCAGTGTACCTGCAGCACTTTTTTCCTTCTGGATCTGAGTCTTATTATAATTGAGTGTCATTTTTTTGGTTCTAGGGCTGGAGCTGGCACATCCTGTAGTGTTTCTTTTTTTCTTTTTCTTAGAGAACAGTGGAAGCACAGATCCAGTCAATGCACACTCTTGGCTGTCACTTTCCTTGGCACTTGGTTATTTATTTATGGCTTCCTCTGTATCCACCTCTGACAGGACCTCCCTCTGCACCACAGAACCTGGTCTACACCATCAACCAGACCACTGTTAGCCTGGAGTGGAGCCCACCAGCTGACACGGGCGGGCGTAACGACGTCAGCTACAGGGTAATATGCCGGCGCTGCAGCTGGGAACCTGAGGAGTGTGTTCCATGTGGGCCAAATGTGGGATACATTCCTGCACAGTCAGGATTAGTGGACACTTACATGACCATCATGGACCTGCTTGCCCATGCTAACTACACCTTTGAGGTGGAGGCGGTCAACGGGGTGTCGGAATTGAGCCGCACACAAAGGCTTTTTGCAGCAGTCAGCATTGCTACTGGCCAAGCAGGTAAGGACTCTAGAATCAAACTGTTATTATTATTATTATTATTCATTTTTTGTCAAGTACAATTTTGCCCATCTTAGTCAGTGGGGAAAGGAGAGGCAAACAGGAAATGAGGGAGACAGAGAGAAGGGAGAAGGGAGTGGTTGGACTCAAACTGCCGTCATGACACATGCACTGTGTATGTTGTACATGGTACGATGCTGTAACCATTCGACTCAAATTGTTTATTGTTTGTACTCTTCATTTTTCTCCCGTGCCCTTTGCTGGGGTAAAAGCACTTTCTGACTGAATTTCTGTGAAAGGAAATGTGTAGATTTTATAGAAAACAGCTGATCATCTGAACATTTTCTTTCATTTTAAAGAAATAGTTCAACTTCCTCTGAGTTAAATGACAAGGCTGATATCAGTCTCAGTCTCTGTGACAAGTAAGGAGCTAGAACCAAAACTCCATTAGCCTAGCTTAATTTAAAGGTTGAAAATAGGAAGTAACACCTAGCCTGACTCTTTTAAGTGCTCAAAAATTTGCTGACAAACATTTCTAATGCTCATAATTAACACATTTTGTCTTGTGTGTTTAATCTATCCACAAACAGAAATATAAACACAAGACTTTGTGCTTCCCAACAATGTCTGGCAACCAGTGCTACAGCCAGAGACATTAAACTGTCTTGTGTCTGGAAAAAATAGAGCACATACTGTAACTCCCACCATAACCACAGATAGTTTTTACATTTCATAGTAAGTATGGATTAAACAAACAAGCTAAAAATGTTAACTGCTGAGCCTCAGAGATGCTAGCCTCCGAGCTAGGCTAATCATGTCCTGATGTCAGTTTTGTACTTAACACACAGACATGAGGTTGATCTGAGGATGAAAAAAGTGAATGACCACATTTCCCAAGCTGTTTCCTTAGAGCTGAAGTTGTAGCATACTGGTGTGATAGTGTAGAGCTCACCCTGTGCTCCAGCTGAGAGACCATTAGGCATTAGAAACATAGCCATTGACAATTTAATTTTAAAAACCTCTCATATGCAAACTACAGTAATGATTCCCCATTAGCATTAATTACCATAGAGTGATATGATCCATAATATTTTCAGCATGTATATTACCCAGATAAATTTAATGTGTATATCAGTGGCAAACATTATTAGCTTAGCAATGATGCAGACTCCCAGCGGTACCCAAAGAGCCAGTACTGTATTTGCAGCTCAGCCTCAAGGGAATCTACTGTAATTAAAATGCTGTAGTTTGTAGTGACAAACTCTGAAGCCTTAATTTCTACGGATCCCCTCAACAAGATTAATTTTTTATGCTCACACATCCATGAAGCACAGTTGGCCCAAAAGACTATAATGATTAAAAGAAGGATGCAAAGACAGTGTAGAAGCTTTAGGTGACTATTGATAACTATGCCTGTTCTCTACCATATAATGTCCTACTGCTTTATTGCATCATTTTCAGTCATTGACATTCTTGTCATCATTTTTGTAATGATGAATGTCAATAAATAAATAAATCAATGTACCAAATGTGTTGAATGTGTGTGACAGAAAGAAAGAGGCATTCCTTTGAGTTAATGTGTGTGGGACATAGTGGTGTACTGTTTAATTTTGTGACAATAACAAGAGCTGGAATGTGCCAATGGGTTGCCTGGCCAGGGGCACCAGGATGTCAGCGAGAGGGCAAAATAAATAAATAAATTAATTAACACAGGCTCTTTCAGAGTCACTCATAATTACATATGGCATGTTGACAACAGACAATTACTCAGTTAACCCAGTGAAATATTTAGCCATTAGCTATTGTGAAAGTGTGGCATGCTTGGCAAATACAGCAACATGTTTATCATTTCAAATAAGTGGCACCATTTAAGTTGATGTAACACTATAATCAGCGTAACTGGCTAAGATGTATCAGGTTACTGATAATTTGTTGATCAGTTTGATTATATCTCTTATCTAATAGTTTAACACAATCATTTGTGTCTGTAAACTTAATCATTTACATTTAAAAAATGCAAAGATGCTTTGATTTTCCCTAAGTGTTTTATGGTACTGGAGTGGAATAGCCTCCAAAACAGTATTTAGACTGTGATGCAATACTAAAACTTGTCTTTGAAACCCAGACTAATTAAATTCCTTCAGGGTTAGTAGCTCTTCAAGGCAGGGCAACCCAGTCCATCTGTTCAGTGCTAGAGCAGCTCTGGGACAGAATAATACCTTTAAACAAAGGCTGAAATTACAGAAGCGAACAGTGAAAAGAATAAATTGATTACGCAAAAAGAAAAATCAGGTTTATAATGTTTTTTCAGGCATGGCATAGCTGAGGGATCTAACATACTTGTTAAGAGGTTCGTATTAGCACAAATAGGCATGTTTCCCTGGAGAAATCTGTCCAACTAGACCTTGTCGGAGAGTTTTGTTTGACTGAGAAACATGAGCTGAAATATGGTCGCCCAAGAGACTTTATATATGATGTAAACAGTTTTATCTTTTAAGCTGTGAAAAAGGCACCTGGGTGGTGAGACGTCATCTTATGAAATAAAGTCTGTGCTGCATGACCATCGAAGTGCTCCTGCCTTCACCAGAGCTTTTAACTGTATCACACCCACTTAAATGTGACTTAATTTTCACCACATGATGTAAATATTTTACTTTGTTCACATCATGAGAGGTACCCATACTGACACCAATTTACAGAATAACCTTTCTGGCTCTTGATCAAAATTAAAATAAATACTTTAGGTTTATAAATTTGTCTTTGTGGTTAAAAAAAAGCTGAACTACTTGGTTAGAAAACAGTTGAGCCTATTAAAAGAAAGTGTTGACTGTCAGTAGGACTCGAGTGATATAAAATGCTTTCCTGTATTGAAGTTTGATTCTGTGTTGAACAGTCCACCCACTCCAACCTCTATGAAGTCTATGAAGTTTTGTGGCAGGTCAGTAGTCAATGTTTCATTGATGTTGATGGTGATCTGATAGGTCTCTCTTGTTTTCCAGCATGAGCAGATATTAGCACCATGCTGCAGGACTCATTGTCCTGCTCACTGGACCCTCACTGTGTCTAGCGTTCTCTGGGCTGTTCTGGAAAGCTTGAGCGCTTTGTAATTGGAAGGTCAGAGCTCCCTAAAACAATCGGCCTTACTTGAGCAAGCATGCAGGACCACTCATTAGAGAATGAGAATTATTAAAGCTTTTATGGCCCATCATTCAGAATTGATTAACCTTTGCGTGGCAAGGCACTGAAGCCCCACAGCACTGAAAGAAGCTTAGAAAAGAGAAGCCCGTTCCTCCATCCTTCCCATCTCCACCTCCTGCATGATAATCAGCACGAACATAGGCTTGCAGCCGGGGAGTGGGGCGAATAAACTCTGTGTGTGAATGCAGATGGTGATCCATCTGATGAGTTATTCACACATCCCCTAATTACACGAAAGGAAATGTCTGGAGCGATGCTGGTGCTACACAAGGTGCTGAGTGCTTATTGTTCCCAAAAACCTAATTACCTCTCGGCTTTGCCTTACATGAGTTTAAGTAGAGGTTGTGAGTTTGTAAGTCTGATTTCTCCAGCTCCGTCCTCACACTGCTTGAATAGAAATGTGTTACGTTGAGGATTTTTGCTGTCTTTGCTGCTGCTGGAAGTTAAGAGTGTGTTTCAATCAGCACTCCATTGTGAGTCGACAGCACCAGAGAGCCACCCTCCAAGGGCCCTTCTCACCTTAGTTTTCCTCAAGCACACTTGTAAACAAGGCCTTTGTTCTTCCGGAACACTTGTGAGTGGGCAGTGCTCATCAGATAACTATTAATATTTATTCAAGCAGGTGTTCACATCTCTGAGCCAGAAAAATTACAGTGGAAAAGGGCACAGAAATAGGATTTGAAATTGGTTATGGGAAATAGTACAGCACCTGCGTGTGTGCGCATGTGTGCATGCTGTGCGTAAACATTCAACTTAAGACCAGTGGAACAGGGTTTAGGTGCGATCAGCAAGCGGTTTAAACAATATAATGAGTGAAAAGAGGAGACTGTGGAAATTGATTTCAATGTTAATTGCTTGTGTTATTCAGCAGCACAAAGGCTTTTCCACTTTTACAATAGTTCAGCTGGGCTCAAAAGTATTCACAGGATCTATGGCTCAGACTCCAGAATGTCTGGTAATATAGAGAGATGATTTCAAATTTCAGGTTTCTCTTTGTTAAAGCCTTTTTCAGATACAGTATGAGTACACAGTAGTATTTCTGACTATATTTTTGTGTTAAAATATTGACTTTTTGTGGTTCAGCAAAAGGTGCCTATTATGCCAGTGTTCATCATGATAGAACATTTATGAAAAGAGTGTTTTTTTTTTGTCTCACTGGTTGCATCACTGTTGGGTTTTAAAGTGTATTTGCAGTTGGAACCTTCAAGAGCAACTTAACTCCCAGTTTTGTCTTTACTCTCCCCTTCACATACTCAAAAAATGCATTTGACCCCTGACACACCTCCACTGTACGAGATCGCTCCTTCCCCCATGGTACCCCATAACTGCTGACACTCCCACCCCTCTCATAGCTCTGTCAGACTGTTGCACCAGTGTTCCTTTAGCTGTCTAAGCTGATGTGTTTAAAACATTTG